GTGAAAGCCGCTGCGGCTGCCGGGCGCGGCGTCCTTGTGAGGTGGGATCTCTCCGGAGTCACAGGGCAGCTCCTGCTGCAGGAGCTGTGCCGCGCTCTGGGGGGCCGGGGATGCTCTGGGGGCTGCGCCGGGGGGCCGGGGATACTCTGGGGCCGGGATGTGCTCTGGGGCCAAGAGCTGCTTGTACGGCTACACCCCCCAAAATGGGGCAGCCGGGGCACGCGGCGGGGCTCTCCCCTGCTAACGCTGACTCCCTGTGTCTGCTCTTCTGCAGAACGCACCATGTGTCCTCTTCACCGCCCGTCACGCCAGTGCCGCCACGGTAAGAGGAACCCCCACTGCTGTCACCCCTCTCCGGTGCTGGTGGGGGGAGCGTGTGCTCGGCCCCCCGCAGGTGCCAGGGCTCACGGCCCCCTCTCTTCTTCCCAGAACCTGAAAGACGTCCTTGCCAGCATGATCCCCAAGGAGCAGGCGAAAATCAAGAGCTTCAGGCAGCAGCATGGCAACACGGCCATTGGGCAGATCACGGTGGACATGGTGAGTGGGAGGGGGGCGGCGGGGGGGGGGTTGGACTGTGCCACAGCCAGTAACCGCCTCCTTCCGCCCTTCTCCAGGTGTACGGCGGGATGAGGGGCATGAAGGGGCTGATATATGAGACCTCCGTGCTGGATCCTGATGAGGTAGGGCCTGATCCTGCCCTGCTCAGGCACCCACCTTGCGTGGGCGGCGCCGCAGTGGCTGACGCTTGTGCCGGGCTCTTTAGGGCATCCGCTTCCGCGGGTACAGCATCCCCGAGTGCCAGAAGCTGCTGCCCAAAGCTGCGGGGGGAGAGGAGCCGCTGCCCGAGGGGCTCTTCTGGCTGCTGGTGACGGGAGATGTGCCCACCCAGGAGCAGGTAACACGCGGGGGGGTCTGGTGAGGGGGGCTGCCAGCCCCTGCCCCGCAGCTCAGCCCCCCGTGCCCCCCCTGCAGGTGAGCTGGCTGTCCCGCGAGTGGGCCCGGCGTGCCGCACTGCCCTCCCACGTGGTGACCATGCTGGATAACTTCCCCACCAACCTGCACCCCATGTCCCAGCTGAGTGCCGCCATCACTGCCCTCAACAGCGAGAGCAAGTTCGCTCGCGCCTACGCCGAGGGCATCCACCGCGTCAAGTACTGGGAGGTACGGGGGGGGCCGGGTGCCCCGATGCGGTGCAGGGGGGCTCAGCCACCCCAAGTCTGAGCTTGGCCCAAGGCGTGAGCACAGGTTTGGGTGCGGGGGGGTCAGGGGCTCGTGTCCCCCAGGGAGGGCAGCCGCCCCGTCTAACCCTGCCTGTCCCAGTTTGTCTACGAGGACGCCATGGACCTGATCGCCAAGCTGCCTTGTGTCGCCGCAAAGATCTACCGCAACCTGTACCGCGAGGGCAGCAGCATCGGGGCCATCGACCCCAACCTCGACTGGTCGCACAACTTCACCAACATGCTGGGCTACACCGACCCCCAGTTCATCGAGCTGATGCGGCTCTACCTCACCATCCACAGGTACGGGGCTGGGAGGAGCAGCTGGCGCCCGAGCAGGTGGGGACTCGGCCCCGCTCCCAGCCCCGGGGCCAGGGATGGGGCCGGGTCCTGGGACGTGCCTGGGCTGCTCCGGGGGCGTCACCAAGCACACGGTGGGGTGTCAGAGCCCAGCCCCAGCACGGCCCCAGTCCCTTGCCCCAGGGCAGGGCCGTACCAGGCTGGGAACATCATGGCCCCCCAAAATGCTGTGGGGGTGTCCCCGCGGCTGTGGGGGCCCTTGGTAGGGATGGGGGAGATCTGACGTTCCCTTTAACCCCTGCAGCGACCACGAGGGGGGAAACGTGAGCGCCCACACCAGCCACCTGGTCGGCAGTGCCCTCTCCGACCCGTACCTCGCCTTCGCTGCCGCCATGAACGGGCTGGCTGGGCCCCTGCACGGCCTCGCCAACCAGGTGGGCACCTCCGTGCGTCCGGCCGTCCATCTGTCCGTCCGTCCGTACACCGCTGTTCTCACCCCCTCCTCTGCTTGCCGTGCCCGCAGGAGGTGCTGCTCTGGCTGACCAACCTGCAGAAGGAGCTGGGCCAGGACGTGTCAGATGAGAAGCTGCGGGATTTCATCTGGAACACGCTCAACTCTGGCAGGGTGAGTCCGGCCCTGCCCGGGGCGAGGGACCGTGGCCGTGCTGGGGCTGGGCTCTGACCCCCCCGTCCTTGCAGGTGGTGCCGGGGTACGGGCACGCGGTGCTGCGGAAGACGGACCCCCGCTACACCTGCCAGCGGGAGTTCGCCCTCAAGCACCTGCCCAAGGACCCCATGTTCAAGCTGGTGGCCCAGCTCTACAAGATCGTCCCCAACGTGCTGCTGGAGCAGGGCAAGGCCAAGAACCCCTGGCCCAACGTGGATGCCCACAGCGGGGTGCTGCTGCAGGTGAGCCCCCGGGGGTCCTGGCCCTGCCCCAGAATCGCTCCCTGGGGGGGCAGAGGGCTCCTGGCTGCCCCCTCGCCCCCTCCCGCAGGGCTGCCCTGCCCTAACGCCCCTCTGCCCCCACAGTATTACGGGATGAAGGAGATGAACTACTACACGGTGCTCTTCGGGGTCTCCCGAGCCCTGGGCGTCCTCTCGCAGCTCATCTGGAGCCGGGCGCTGGGCTTCCCCCTGGAGAGACCCAAGTCCATGAGCACAAAGGGCCTCATGCAGCTCGTGGGCTACAAATCTGGGTAAAGAAGGGACGGGGACAGGGCCGTGGCTCGCTGCTCCGGGGCGTCCTCTCGCAGCTCATCTGGAGCCGGGCGCTGGGCTTCCCCCTGGAGAGACCCAAGTCCATGAGCACAAAGGGCCTCATGCAGCTCGTGGGCTACAAATCTGGGTAAAGAAGGGACGGGGACAGGGCCGTGGCTCGCTGCTCCCCAGGGAACGCTGCGCTGCTGTCGGGCCCCGGGGACGGACTCAGCACTGAACCCCCCTCGGGCACAGGCCGCGGGTCTCCTGTGGTGCGAGCGGAGCCCCCCCCT